TCAAGTGCAGCAGGGACAGCCGGAGCCAGAGCCAGGGCCGGACGCTGAGTCTGGGCCAAGGCCAGTGAGGAAGGAGGCAGCAGGTTCTCCCCGTGCGGGGGATTCACCCGGCGCCGGCTCCCCGGGGCAGTGGGGGAGTCACCGCCCGGCCGGGGCCTTTCCGGGGATGCTTGAGTCACACACCAGTGACTGGGCTGGGGGCAGGGAGCTGGGGGAAGGTCTCTGCTCTGGGCTGTCGGGTCAGACTGGACGGGACAATGGTCCCTCCTGGCCTGAAACTCAGTGAAGCCGGGACTGTCACCCCAGCCTGGGCCGACTGGTGAACCTGGCCCAGCCCTGAGCGCTGGTCCTGATCTGAGCTGACACAGTCAACATAAGAACACACGAAAGGCCACCCTGGGTCAGACCAAAGGCCCCTCTAGCCCAGTATCCTCCCGTCTGACAGTGGCCCCAGAGGGCGGGAACCGAACAGGGAACCACCCACCAGTGATCCTGCCCTGTCATCGCTTTCCTGCCTCTGACAAAGAGAGACTAGGGACACCAGCCCTCCTCCCCCCGACAGCGCAGCCACCTCTGCTGCTAGAGGGGATTTGCCGACTCCCTGGGCTTTCTTGGCTCCATTTTCTCCCACCCCCTGCGAGTTAGCCCAGGCTCTCACACACTCACCGAGCAGCAAGAGGAACAGAGACAGGAGCATCAGGGCTGCGGCAGGAACCGAGAGGGCTGGAAATGGCCAAACGACGTCTGCTTCTGACGGGGCTTGGAAGGGACAATCTGCAGTCGCTGTCTGCTCCGACCTGCCCCCCGCTGCCCCTCTGGGCTCACAGCAGAAAGCCCCCCTCCCCGTGCAGAGTCTCTGCCAGCCCCTCAGGGCTGGGCTGGGAACCCAGATGCTGTCGTGGCTGAGGGAGCAGAGACACCGCGGCCCTTTTACTCTGCCCCGTCCTCTCCTCGTGTCTGATCGTCAATGTTCTTCATTTCCTGTCCTCTACATACCCGACCACCAACAACGTCTTTATTTAGCGCCGGAAGCCTGAGAATTAAACACACGTAGTTACAGGACTCAGTGAAACCTACCATGTTAGATGTAGTCCTGGCCTCGCGGGAAGGTTTAACATGAACTACACTGAGCTCATGTATAGGGCTCAAAGTGCTGTATCCGGGAAACAGGAGGGGAAACTGAGGCACAGGAAGGTGGGATAGAATTGGCCTGAAGGCACCCAGCAGGACAGAGCCAAGAATAGATGTCAAGTCTTTGTCTATACATTCAGCATTAAAATACTGAGCTCAAATGTTCCCTCTAATTATTTCCATCCATGTGTGCCATAAATGTTGTTATGTGCACCGAGGCATGTGTCAATGTGCACCACTAGTAGAAATACCTGTTACCAGCTATGGACCCTGTGTTCCTCAGCTGGGCTGTGTGTGAAACTCTTCTTTGTGAGCCTCCAAGCACACAGCTTACAGGGAACTGCCAGGGACCTGGAGGTCTGGCCTGATTTGCATCCCTGTTCGGGAACCTTTGGGGCATTTTGGTCACTGAGGCATCAGAAAATGTTGTGATCCCTGTGTGGACAGGAAAGGGAAGGAGACTGGCCCCCAATGCCTGGGGTGTGTTGTTGCCTTGCGCTGAGTGGACAGTGGTAGGAAAGGTTGTTGGGGTCCAGGTTCACCTGGGAGATGAGTGAAAGAGAGGGATGTGAGGTGGATTTAGAGTCCAGGAGGTTGGGGGGTCGCTGTGGGTTTTTTCTCTTGCTCTGTCTGGAGGGGCACATGAGCTATGCTAGGTATTTAAAAAAATTGAGAGGGAAACCTAACTTCTTTCATACAAATTGTAGGCCTGAAATGTTTATCATTTTTAGTCAAATTGTCTGAACCAATCTGACTCACCAAATCTCTTTTCATTTAATTTTGGTAATAAAGAAAAAGTCATCCATATTTCACTGTTCCTGATTTTTGTATTTGTAACAAGATTTATCTTATATATATGTAGTCCTAATTAATTAGTTAATTAGCTAACAAAGTAATTCTTCAGTCCAGAGAAAAACCTCCCATGGATTACTCTTAAAAAGCAAAAGAAGACAATATTTTTACTGTGCTTTTCACTGGACAAACAATGTAAAATTAATTAACAAACACTCTTACTAAAACTCATGAAGGAAATTTAAGATACTTCTCTCCGTGAACACTATCTGGTTAAATTTAATTTTTTATTTGTACTTATATGTTACAAAAATAATACAGTACCTGTAAAGTATGAAATAGTTTTGTAATTCAGTAAAAAGTAGGCTACAGAGCATCCTTGCTATAAGTCATCTCGGTTGGTGTACATCCATTCCGCACAAAAGTCATTGAAGTTTATAGGAACTGATGCATTATAAGATCTTCCATTTCCCACTCTTAAATCATGAAAAAAAAAACCCAGAACAATTTGCGCAAATGGAAGCCAGCCATTGGAAAAAATTCCTTGGTTTATGTTGTTTTTCTATGACTATGTTGACACTACAGAGTTTTTGCACAAAAACAATTGTTTTTGCGCAAAAACTCATGGCGCATTCACACCTCAAGCATGTTTTGTGCAAAAAATCGAAAGAACAGAGGAGGTTTTGCACAATTATTATTCCACTTTCTATGAAGAATAACTCCTTTTTGTGCAAAAGTTCTTGCACAAAAAGGTGTGTGGATGGGGAAGAGAGTGGTTTTTTTTTTTTGCTTTTGCAAAAGGAGCCAACTGAAAAAAGCATAGGTGCCCTGGTGGCCATTCTGTGCATAGCAATCAGAGTTTCCTTTTGAGAGCAGCCTGGATGCTCTCTTGCGCAAAAGTGCATCGCTTTTTCAGTGCGCTTTTGCAGTGTGGACACTCTTTTCCACAAAAAGCTTCTTGCACAAGAAGCCTGCAGTCTACATGTAGCCTATAAGTCCAAGTTTTTTGGAACATATCTTGGACTTACAGCAAGGATGGCTTGTATTGTTATTATTTGTATTGTTACTAAATTTTATAAAGTGAATTCCTAAGCTCATACCTTTTATTCTTTTTAAGCTTAATTGTAAAAAGATAAGCCCTCTGCAATCCTTGCAGAAAATCCTCAGGTTACTAAATTGTGGCTCTCCACAGGCTTTTTTATAATACCTGTGTGAAAGCACTAGCCAAGGGGAGGTACTTTTGCCCACCCAAAAGTTACCTGAGCAGTTTTGGGGAGGGACTGTAATTTGCTCTTTGTTTGTACCACTCCTGGCACAATGAGGATACAACCCAGACAGTCTCGAGGTCCTATCACAATAGAAATGGTAAATCACAGTCATGCAGAGTGTTTCAGTGAAAGGTCCCATCTGCTGTTTATTATTTGGGTTTCTGTTGTTAGCTTCCCCGGATTTTAATCTCCCCTCAGTAAAAGGCGTCAGTCAGGTGAGTAACAAAATGACTGGCTGGAGAACAGAGACAGGGGCTAATCCATGTGGGGTACAAGGATGTTTCCCACTACTGGAAGGACACCCCCTTGGATGTCTCACATGTACATAGGTTGTTAAGCATTACACACTCTGGGTATTGTGGGGGTCCTTCCTCATGATTTTATGCACTTGGGTTGGCAATGCAATCACAGCATGGAGCAGACCCGGGAGCTGAGCCGTCCATACAAAGAGTCAGAGGGTAGGACACAGAGTTTGGGCATTTCCCCCTGTTTTATTGAGAAGGAACATTGTTTCCTGCACCACGCCGGGTGCTGCACATTGTCCAGCTGTGGCCCCAGACAAAGTCCCCCACCTCCTTGCTGCACAGCCTCTGATTTGGGGGGGGGGGGGGGGGCTCTGTGATGCTGCTGTGCACTGGCCAGCCCTGTATGTTAGCAATAGGAGCGCTAATGATATCTGCTTCGCTGCAAAGTGACGTTCACATATGTCGGATTCTCTTCTGTCAGGGGCCACAGACACTGTAAGGTAAAACACGGAAACATTACTGTTCTGCTCAGCTAGTCAAAAGCCAGAGAAATGAAGCTAGAAAATGCCCCTGAAAAATGTGTACATCGGGGCATTTCTAATGGGTCTCTTGTCTGGAAAACACCAGTGACCCCACTTCCTAGATAAACCCTCTTAGGCAGGCTTCACCCTCTGCAGCCTTGGCCTGGCCTTTTCCTGCTCCCCAGAGTTCCTGTGACACCTACCAGCTGGGCAAAAGAGCCCTTCTCTCTTCCCTTTCTTCACGCCAGCCGCCCCATAAGGAGGTGGTGCTGGGTTCTCCCAGCGATGGGGTGTTATTAAGTGAAATAAGGATTCTTCTGTGCTGTAGGCAGTGTTGTTTGTCCTGCCTAGTTTTGTATTTTGATCACCGATGTTGTTAATGAGAATATTTATAACGATTATTGACACCTGTTGTTATAATATTGTTACGCTGGATATTGGGTGGCTCCCAACAAGCCTGACTCTGATCTCTGGGCAATCATAGCACGTTGCTCATGCTGGTGGCTCTGATGAGTACCTGCCATTCAGGCTGCACAAGGCAACCATTAAATGCCTCTTTGTTTAGTGTCTGCTGAAGCACTGGGCAGCCACCAGAAACACCTCAGAAGTCCATAGATTAAGCAACAAGAAAGCCAGTCCTGACCAGAAGAGCACTTGGAGCAGGACCCTGAGAAAAAGCTGAGAGAAAGAGAGAGGCTACGTCTAGACAGCAGCTCTTTTCTGGACGCGTTCTTTCGCCATCCCTGTAAATCTCGATTTACAAGAAAGAAGGGATGGCTCAAAAGAGCAGGTTTTTCCGAAATGTGGTGCCGTGTAGATGCCCTGAATTTTGGAAAAGCCTCTTTCGAAAGAAAAGTGGGAGAAGACACACAGATTGCAGTTCAGGTATCTTTTTCCAACTTTTCTTTGTAGTCTAGATGTAGCCAGAGACAGAGACCGAGTGTGCGCGCGTTTGGGAAGAGTGCTGGCGGGACAAAGATTCTGCCTCCCGGTGTTTGATTCCTGTTGCGTCCCAGGAACCAGCACTTTGTAGGTTCACTGTAAAGCAAAGGGGTTGCATCCAAGCCCAAACCTCTCCTCTCACCAGAGCTACCCTGGAATCAAACTACCGACTCGCTGCTTGGATCAGAAGGGAGACCAGTCTGTACCATTTTAATTAGCAGTTAACCGACTTGTGAATTCACACGGCGCATAAACAGCTCTGCCTGTCGCACCCTGTCCCAGAGACACGCCTGAAAAGCCCTAAGGGCTAAATCCTTGTGTATTAGTGTAAGAGAAGCCACAGCCACACCAGGGGAATCTCTGCAAAGTGAATGGCACTCCATCCCTGAGACCATTTATGTTCTCTGCCCCAGGCTTTTAGGACAAAACTGTACCAAGAATGACGTGGTGATGAAACCTTCCTATTGACCTGATTGGTCTGGACGTCTGTGGGGACCAAGGTGTAGTGGAAGTGTGGAAGATAATTATGATATCAAGGAGAGTAGGTGGTATACAGCAATCGTTCCTTTTATGCCTGCATCTCCCTTCAGGCCTGGATGCCCTAGGCAGCTCCATTTGTGCTTTTTACCTCTCATTATTTTCTTATTATTCGCAAAGGGTCAGCTGCTTGCTGAAGATGGTACAGGTAGGAACGCACTGTTTACTTTCAACAAGTTCTGGGATGGGTGCCAAGGCCATCCACATGGTACAGGAATCCGGGAGAGTCTGGGATTATCACATAGTTATCTGTGTTGAAGGTTTGCCACCCGATAAAGCTAATTTTTTGACTTAGGAAAATATGCAATGTATCAACAATTTTGTCAGGATCTCAAAGCAACAGGTGTGAGTAATGTAAATCCAATAGTATATAAATGCCAGGGATATTTCTAATATTCGAACCTGAAGCTGCAGGAGGTGCTATGTACCGGCCACTGGGGTCTGTCTGTTGTCCTTCAGGGGGTTCCCGACAACAGAAGGGACGTAAGCATTGCATTTTATCCTGAAATTTGCTTAGGCTTAATAAGCATTGTACTTTCTTAATAAGCATTGCATTTTATTCTGAGATTTGCTTAATAAAGTCTTTAAGCCGTCACCCAAGTTATGGGTTTATTGCCTCCAAATCCTTTAAGGAAAGAACCATTGCCACTTGGCAACACACAAGCCTGACTGGCCAGGCTCCAAGCAGATGATGGAGGCAGCTACCTGCTCCTGGGCAGAGATCTGGGGCAGCAGCAAGGACACCAGAGTAACAGATACAAGGACCCCTGAGTAACAGATACACATTCCGAGCCCACGGGTCCCTGCCAAGTGGGAACAAGCAATCCAATTGCTCTCCGCTCTCACCTCACTTTGTCCTTAATAAAAACCACAACTTACCCTGGCTTTTCCAGGCCGATTCTTCGAGGTATCTGGGGAGAGAAGGACAGTTAGTTGCACATGGTCACCTGGGTATAAGTGCATTTAGGGGAAGGTACCTCCTTGAGCATGAATTATAACCACAGGGCACCTGCTCCTCCCCCAGCTAGGGCAGAGCTTGCCTGGGCTCCTCTGAGCACCATGAGGCCTGATGCTGATCAGTGTCACTAGGTGGTACCCGAACAGGAGGATTGCAGGTGGCCATTGAAGATGTCCAATGGAAATTGTCTCTCTGGGTTTCTGTCCAAGCTGGTTTGTCACAAACAGATTTGGCTTTCAGAAGAACATTTCAATATTTTGTTTTAAAAAGTGCCCCCAAACTGCCATATTTTGACCCAAACTAGAAATATTCTGATTCGGTTACCACCAAGGGGCTGCATTGGATGTGTAGTCCAGTGTCCTCTTGCTGGTAGTCTCCTCTACAAGCTGGAGTGGCTGGGCTGCATCTCCCATGAAGCACTGCAGCAAGAGAGTCTCATAATGTATCATCATCAAGAGGGGAGAAAGTGATGCATCATGAGAGAGCCCAGCTCAAAGAGGAAACCACAGTCATGAGGCATCTGAACTACAGCTCCCATGAGGCACTCTTGCCCCCGGCTCCCAATGCCACGGGTGGGGCACTTTTCCGTAGGAGCTTTCCTTGGGATGTGTCTTTCCATGAAGAAAGGGAAGGGGTAACAGTTGACTCGGTCCCCTAAGCCTTGACAATGCAGAGCTTGGGGTCAAAGGAACCTCCCCCCGCCAAATAACACATTTACCCTCAGTCCCCACATTTCTCCCTCTTGTGCAGGTGATCCCAGGAGCTCCAAAAGAATCCAAAAGCTCTTACACTCATGCTCCTGTGCGGCGCTGCTGGTGTCACGCTGGACGTGTTCCCTGTGGGGAGCAGTAAGGATGGGGGGGTCAGTGAGGCCATGTGCTCTCGCTCACGCTGGTGGCACTGAGTCTGTTTGCAGAGACCCAGCTGTGAGTAGGTTTCTGCCCATGGCTGGTTCTCCCACTAGGACCTTCCATCTCCATTCAGCTCACACGCAGTGGAGAAGGAGCAAGCCCTGGTCCTGGGTAGCAGGTACCATGATGGTTGCACCATTCATGGAGGGAAGGTCTGATAACAAGACTTGCACATCCTGTTCTACTCCAGCTAAGCGGCCAAGCCACCAACCACACCAAACCTGGTTAGGTCAACAGGGAGCTCAAACACCCCACGGCTTAGCTCTCCCCCGTGGGGAAGGAGGGCCGGAGCGCTATAGCTGCCCCACCACCGCACAAACCTGCATTGAAATCACAGCTGCTGTGGATGTTTCTGGTCGGATCCATGTGTGGACGTTCCGAGCCTGGCCCTGAACTCGCTGTCACTGACGGACCTAACGCTGGGTGTTACCCACCCCATCTGGAGGGACTGGAGACCTTTGGTTCCAAGCCAGGCCTCGTCACTCCCAGGCCCAGAAGAACAGGCCTGGCTCTTGCAAAGTGGCTAAATCAGTAGGTGCCATTTTGTGATGGTAAAACGGAGTCACTTTCCTTCTTTCACATCCCTGGGCAAATTTCATACATGCTCACTCTGCTGCCCCTGGTGAATGGGACAGGAACCCACTTCTGTGACAAACCTCTTCCTTAAAGCATCTCCTCGTAACCCCCCTATCCCACCCCACCAGGGAGCTCAACCTGCCCAGGGCTTTTCAAAAACTCCTCCAGAAAAAACACACACAGACCCCACAGCAGAAGAGCTGAGTTACACTGTGAGGCTGCACCAGCCCTTCAAGTAAGAGGGAATAATTTCCTCCTACCTGTGCTCCCTCCACAGAGACCCAGCTGGAAGCAGCGAGACAGAGTGATCAGAGACGGGGCCACATTTCCTCGTGGGCAGAGAGAGAGAGACAGAGACTGAGTGACACGGCCCCAAGCCCTCATTGTACAGACACAGAGCCCCCTCCCCACAGCCCAGCCCAGCGCTCTCCTGCACCAGCCCCACTGACTGGGAGTGGAGTGGTCAAATTTGATGACTTAACTGCCAGTCTCCTGCCATTTTATGTTGTAGGATACCCCAGGGCAGAGAGTCCTGGGGATCAGAGAGTCTTGATTATCATAAAAAGAATTATAACCCTCATTCTGGGGGAGAAAAGCCTGAGGAGGTGACCCTAGAGACCCCGTCAGAATCACCCCAGCAAGAAAATTCAAAGCCCCCTGCACTGGTGACTTGTTGGCAGTCCCATGAGTTCTGAGCCAGTCTCGAGCTGGTCAGGGTGACTGGAGGCTGTGGGAGCCGGGGGCTGGGGCGCTGTGAGGAAAGGCTGCAGGGCAGAGCGGTGCCCAGAGCTCTGTGTTCAGAGTTGTTAGGGCCTGATGCAGGAAAGCTCCTACACACGGGCACAAGGGCCCTCCCTGGCTAGGGGATGCCTCCCTGACCTGCAGCCTTAGTGACCTGCATGTTGATATTCCATTCAGAGAAACGCATCTGCTGACCCATAGACTGGGACCATCTCTGTGCAGCACTGGACATAGGGGAGTCCTAGTCCCTAATTGGACAGCACCGAGTGCAGTGGGGCTCTTATCCCGGACTGGGGCTCCCAGGCACTACTGCCACACAAATAACTAATCACATGGCCAATCCCTCCCATCGTCTGTTGATGTTTTCCCCAAGCCAGCTGCCCCAAAACATGGTTACACTGTGTCTTTGGTATCTCTCTCCCCCCATCCCAGGCATACTGGGGATAGGGATCTCAGGGGTGTCTCTGCCACGTCTGTCTGTACATTTGTTAACATAGCTCAGCCTCAATCTCACACCCACCTTTTCTTCCCAGCAGATAAAGCACCACAGCCAGGACCAGCACGGCAGGGACTGTAATTCCCAACAGGAGCTTTAGATCCAGCCCTAGGAAAGAACCTCGCTGTGAATGGCCTCTCCAAGTAGCCACTGACCAGTCTCTACTGGATGGGGCTTGCTGAGTCCTGTGGTAAGTGACTGTTTGGGTATGTCTACACTGCATCTGACGAAGTGGGTCTTTGCCCACGAAAGAAAGCTTATGCTCCAACACTTCAGTTAGTCTATGAGGTGCCACAGGACTCCTCGCCGCTTATACTCAAAATAAGAAACGCAATTTGCACTACTCAAATTACATGTCTCATTTTGAATCTTTTTCAGAAGCGGTTATTTTGAAATTTAGCACATCTACACAGCACCAAATTTTGTAATAAAGCTCTATTTTGAGACATCCCTCAACCCTTGTGGAATGAGGGGAATCAGGATGCAGAAACAGTCCGAGGGTTATTTTAAAAAATATTTTGAACTAGCCAATTAGCCCGTCATCAGACGGGATTTTCAGGTCTCTCCTCCACGTCGGTATTCTCTCCTAAGCCTCCAGTCTCTCGCTCCGTGTCTCTTTCTCTCTATCTCCTCCTCACTGCTTCCCTCTCTCTCTCTCAGCTCTCCTCCGCCTTCTGCCTCTCTCTCAGTCTCTTTCTTTCTCTTCTCCCCCTCCTGCCTCTCACTCTCTCTCCACTCTTCTCTGTCTCCATTGGGAATGCACGCTCATCCAGGCCCCATCCCCTGGGCATGTACGTCACTGCCCCACCCCCTTCTTCTCCCGCTGTGGTACTTTGGCTGACTTCTGATGATGCATCTGGTACCTCCTGCCAGAACAACCCCCCACCCAGTGAGTGCAGAGGGAGGCAACAACTCACTGGCTGCCGGGACAGCAGAGGGGACAGGGAACTCCAGAGGAAACTTGCCCAGCAGAAGGGTTTGGGATTCCCCCTCTGACAGAGCCACTTTCCTGCCCTGCGAAGATACAACCCAGCTCAGCTATGCTGGGTAAAGCCCGGGAGAGCTGCAGGGAGAATGTCCTGCTTTGGATAAGCCTGACACTCTGTTTCGTGCTGGTGTGTTTCCTATATCTATCGTCATGGCGATCACACTCAGACTGGGGTTACCCAGCCTAGACCCTCCTCTGCCCTAAATACAGGCCCCAAAACACAGAGAGGCACCAGAACATTTACCTGGGGATGAGGAAATCCTGGTACCACCACTGCTGGAATCATTACCTAGGCAATAAACACACAAGGGCCATTGTCATGACAATCACACTCAGACTGGAGACCTACTATCCCTAAATAGAGTCCCCAGAACACAGAATCTCTTCAGAAGCATTTATCTGGGGGGAGGAGGGTGACCTCCCAGCACCAACCTCCTACAGAGAGCCCTGCGACACGGTACGCCCCACCCCTCCCGTCCTGCAAAGCCTCCGAACCTTTTTATTGGGCCCCTGTTCTGTGGGCCCCCCCGGCCTCCCCACCCCTGGACTCCCAGCCGGCTGCAAAATCTGTTTTCGGACCGCACCTAGGGAACAGCTGTACACGCTCGTGCCCCGCACTCTGCATTTTCCCACCCTCGTGTCCCACCCCGATTGTAAGTGGCGGGACTATTTAAGATTCGTTGAGGGTGGGAGACCCCGATGAGCCAGTGTGTACCTCCCAGCACCAACCTCCTACAGAGAGCCCTGCGACACGGTACGCCCCACCCCTCCCGTCCTGCAAAGCCTCCGAACCTTTTTATTGGGCCCCTGTTCTGTGGGCCCCCCCGGCCTCCCCACCCCTGGACTCCCAGCCGGCTGCAAAATCTGTTTTCGGACCGCACCTAGGGAACAGCTGTACACGCTCGTGCCCCGCACTCTGCATTTTCCCACCCTCGTGTCCCACCCCGATTGTAAGTGGCGGGACTATTTAAGATTCGTTGAGGGTGGGAGACCCCGATGAGCCAGTGTGTACTCCACCCTAATTCCACGGCCCATCGGGGACATTAGTTGGCGGCTCCTTCACGGAGCCTTGAGCATGGGCGTGTACTTGGCGTGGTTTACCCCCATCCCAGACACCTGCCCCTTCTGCGACGTGAGGGAGAACCTGGCGCACGCCTACCTTGAATGCGCCAGGTTGCAGCCCCTATTCCGGAAGCCTGTCCCTTTTGCGGCATGAGGGAAAACCTGGCGCACGCCTACCTCGAGTGCGCCAGGTTGCAGCCCCTATTCCGGCTCTTATTGAGGTTCTGGCTGCACTTTTCCCCTCACCTTTTCATTTATGCACAACCTATCTGTGGCCCCACAAAGTCGCAAGATCTCCTTGTCAACCTACTCCTGGCCCAAGCAAAAGGAGCCATATACAATACCAGGAGTAAGATGTTAGACGAGGGGGTTCTCTGCGACTGTGGGGCCTACTTCCGTTCCTCCCTTGCGTCACGTATCCCGGTACAGTTCCTCTGGGCGGCGTCCACTGGCTCCATCGATAGCTTTGAGGAGCAGTGGGCGCTGTCCGGGGTTCTCTGATCAGTGTCCCCATTTGGTTCCCTTATTTTGAACCTGTGACCCGAGCTCCTTGATCCTTTCGTCATCATTTGTCCCCTGTAATCAGTTGGACCTGGGTCCAGTTGTCCCTCCCATAAGGCTGGGGAGGGGCTTTTAGAATGTAGACAGGCTTCGCCCGCCCACCTTCTCATGGTTTTCAAATAGACCCCACTATAGTGTGATTGTTGTGACTTGCAGTTTTAATGAGGCACTTAAACTCAGAAGAACTTAGTGGCAATATAGACTCTTTGGATAAGCCTGACACTCTGTTTCGTGCTGGTGTGTTTCCTACATCCATCGTCATGGCGATCACACTCAGACTGGGGTTACCCAGCCTAGAACCTCCTCTGCCCTAAATACAGGCCCCAAAAAACAGAGACGCACCAGTAACATTTACCTGGGGATGAGGAAATCCTGGTACCACCACTGCTGGAGTCACTACCTAGGCAATAAACACACAAGGGCCATGTTAGCAAACCCGGGGGCGATTTGGAGAGTCCAAAGAAGTGCAAGAAAAATGAGCAAAAGCTGAGGAAACCCGACCTGCGTGGAAAGGTTAAAGACACTGGACAGGTTCAGTCTTGGGGAAAGCAGCCGGAGGGGCTAGAAATGGTGCAACCATCTCTAATTCTGCTCAGGGCTGTTACACAGAGGATGGGGATCAATTGTTCTAAGGGCCCACAGAAGGTAGGACTAGAAGCGACGGGGCTAATCTGCAGCAAAGGAGGGTTCGGTTCAATAGGAGGAAAATCTTCCTCACGCTCAGAGAAGTGAAGCTCCAGATTGGCAGATTCTGGAGTTCCCATCATCAGGTTATACGAGGTCGGACACACGCTCCGTCAGGGGTGTTCTAGATTTATTGTATCCTGACTCAGTGCAAGGGGCCAGCTTTGATGACATCTCAAACACCCTTCCAGCCTGTCCATGATCACCCTGCTGCCAAGGCTGGGACATCTGAGTGGGGACGGGTGAAACGCAGAGCAGAAGTGCTGGGTGGCGGGTGGAGGGGGGTAAAACACGGATCAGGAGCAAAGTAAACCTGTAAAGACAGTTCTGACAAACTTGGAACAAAGCTGTTTTATTCACTATTGGTTTGTTTCAGATTTTGAAAATCGATGAATTCCAGTGTTTGGATTTTAGGGGGGATTCATTTAATTGTTTTTCTCACTTTGCCATTAACGCCTCTCCTGTGATGCTGAGTTGCTGCTGGGTAGTACAGAAATAGGACACACACACACACACACACACACACACACATTCTCTCTCTCCTTACTAGTGACACTGAGGCGCTTGACAGTGCTGAGCTGGGATCCATTCACCCGACTGTTGCTGTCCTTGATCTCGTACCCGCAGGAGTAATTCCCAGAGCTGTTGCTGGACACTGAATGGATGTAGTCATAGGTGGCCTTCTTTGAGCCCGTCTGGAATGAAACCTCCTCGCCGTCCTTGCAGAAGACGATGCGAGTGGCCAGGTGCCAGGAGGACATGAAGCACCTGACCTGCACAGAGTCCCCTGGCTGGGCCGACATCTGGTTCAGGTAGAGGATGGGGGCAGGGAGAGCGCCTGGCAAGGAGAAGGGGTCAGAGCTGTCAGTGGGGTGTTGCGGTGGCCTGGTGCTGTCAGCGGGGCAGGAGGTAAATGGCAGGGGTCTGTGCCAAATCTCAGATGAAGCTCTGATCCTAGCCCAGCTGGGGAGATAGAAGATGAGCTCTCTCTGCTGACCAGAGGCTTTATCCCACGGGCTAACTGGCTGAGTACAAGTCTCAGGGCACAGCCAGGCTAGGTGCTGCTGCCTGGCGCTGCACATTGTGCTAGAACAGGAGGCACTGCGGTGGGCAGAGATGGACACAGCTGGGGCAGACAGCTGGGAGACAGGCCCAAGGGCTGTGAGCCGGCGCTGTGGGTTGGTAAATCTCTTGGGGTCAGAGCTGCGGCATTTCCTGTTTCCCAAGGCCAGAGCCCGGGAGAGGGATGGGCCAAGGATGTCCCAGAAGAGCTGGGAGGCAGCGGGGCAAGGAGAGGTCATTTGAAAGACCCGTAGGACCTGCTCAGACCCCACCCAGCCCTGTCCCCTTCCTGTGCCATTACCGCTGGCACCGCGCTCAGCAGGGAGCAAGTCGAGGCGGGAGAGGGGAGGGAGGTCTGGATTCCCAGGACTGGGAGGAGTAAAAGCACTGGGCACATTGAGGACAGACAGACAGATGGACAGACATTTGGACTCACCGGGAGCTGAGCAGATCTCCTGGCTGCTGGGGCTCAGCGCTGGGAACAGAAAGGGGACGTGGGGTCAGTGCCGGGCTGGAATCTCCCCTGCGGTGAGACACCCTGAACAGCTGATGGGGGCCCTGTTCCCTCCATGAACACAGGCCCCAATTCCTGCCCTGCCCAACTCCCCAGGGCACCCTGCCTGCTCCATGGGGCTGGGCCAGGCACCGTGCAGAGCCCTGAACCCTGAGTCGCCTCCTGAAAACTACTGAGGTGATTTGGGCCCAGCCCTGTCATGAGCCTGACCCCGGGTCCCAGACCCAACCCCCTGAATCTGGGGGAATCCAGAACCAGAGCCCAGCCTGGAGCCCAGCTCAATGTCTCTGGCCCATCGGTAACAGGGATCCCAGGGACTGGACCCCGATATCCCCCCACCCTCCAATGACAACGGCCTCCCTGCTCTCTGCCTCCAGGCTGCGCTGACACCCCAGGAGCATCTGAGCCCAGCCCGGTGTTAGGCCACAGAAAATTGGGCCTAGGGCGGTTATGCTAAGACAGACCGAGAAGAGTCCAGCAAAGGTTTCTGGGTAGTCCCTGAACAAAATTTGAGACATGGGTTGAGCAAGGGCATGAAATAAGTGAACAGCTGCATTTTTGTACTTGCTGAGCTGAACAGCTTGCTTAAGAAACTGATAAGAAAACTCCCTGTCTCCTCGTTGCCTGGTACTTGCTTTCTGTCTTAATAAGAAAGTTGCTAATGTATCAAGGCCACCTTGTATAGTTGGCAAGGTATGCACCCGTGCTAGAAGTTTCTAACTAACAAAGGCAGGTGGGTTGCTTAAGTAAATAGTCTATGACGCGACGGAACTGTCTATATAACCCTATTTGCTATAGAAATCAGGGGCTGGTTCTTGGTAGAGACGGGCTGCTCTCTATTGTCGTGTGCACTCTTCAATAAAGAGCTTTGTGCTTAGACCTTGCTGGTGTTGCCTGTCTCTTTGCGGTCAGACAACGAACTGAAGCCGTCTGGGTTAGAAGTCCCCGACACCGGCCTGACCCCATGGGCCTGGCGTGGGGAGCTGGGCCCAGGGACACCCCAGGGCTGGGATCCAGCCAAGTGCCAGGTCCCAGCTCCCCAGGGAATGCCGCCGCCCTGCAGCCTGGGGCCTGAGCCCAAATCACCTCAGCTGCTTTCAGGAGGTGACTCAGGGAAGCAGGGACCCGGGGAAGGATTTAGGCCCCAGGGGACAGTAATTGGCCACGAGCTCCCAGGGCACCGCGGGGCAGCCGGGCTGATGGGCCCCTGGGCTGTGTAACGAGGGGGCAGGGAGCAGGCACCGGGAGGGGGGGGATTTCCCCAGCCTGAGGCCTTGGGGAGGCCGATCCTGGATCCTGAGCCCGGCTCTGGCCCCATTTCAAAGGCTGCTGGCAAAGTGCAGCGGGGGCAGGGCAGGACCCTCTGCTGCTAGAGGGGATTTGCCGACTCCCTGGGCTTCCTTGGTTCCATTTTCTCCCACCCCCCGACTGCTGGTTCTGGCCCAGCCCCAAGTGCTGGCCCAGAGCTGGGTTGGGACAGTCCCACTCCTCCAACAGCGCAGCCCCCTCGGCTGCTCTTTGCCAACTCTCTGGGCCAGGGGCTGCTCTCGATTCTGTGTCCTCCCAGCCCCCCACGAGTTAGCCCCGGGGTCCCAGACACTCACCAGGCAGCAAGAGGACCAGAGGCAGGAGCATCGGGGCTGTGGCAGGAACCGAGAGGGCTGGAAATGGCCCAGCAACGAGCCCCCTCGGCTGCTCTTTGCCAACTCTCTGGGCCAGGGGCTGCTCTCGATTCTGTGTCCTCCCAGCCCCCCACGAGTTAGCCCCGGGGTCCCAGACACTCACCAGGCAGCAAGAGGACCAGAGGCAGGAGCAGCGGGGCTGTGGCAGGAACCGAGAGGGCTGGAAATGGCCCAGCAACGTCTTCTCCTGATGGACTGGGGGGGACGAGCTGAAGTTGCTGTCTGGGCCGACCTGCCCCCTCTGCTCCTCTGGGCTCAGCACAAAAGACCCTTTTCCCCATGCAGAGTCTCTGCCAGACCCTGAGGGCTGGGCTGTGAACCCAGACACGAGCAGCGGGGCTGTGGCAGGAACCGAGAGGGCTGGAAATGGCCCAGCAACGTCTTCTCCTGATGGACTGGGGGGGACGAGCTGAAGTTGCTGTCTGGGCCGACCTGCCCCCTCTGCTCCTCTGGGCTCAGCACAAAAGACCCTTTTCCCCATGCAGAGTCTCTGCCAGACCCTGAGGGCTGGGCTGTGAACCCAGACACAAGCGCTGCTCCGAGTCCTTGTCAGGGCCTATGGCTGAGGCATCAGGGACACCGCGGCCCTTCTGCTCTGACCGGTGCTACCCTCATGACTGATCGTGACTGCTACCTGTTTCCTGTCCCGTACACCCCACCACCAACAGCGTCTGTGTTTATCACCGGATGCCAGAATCAAACACAGATCAAATATATTGACAAAAACCTCTCTTCTGATTTGCTAACAGTGGACTTCGTCAAACCTACCCTGTAGGATGCAGACCTGGTCTGGCTGGAGGGTTTAGCATTAACCACACTGAGCTCATGATACCATCTACAAGTTTTGTTATTCTATATACCAGACCATTTGTTGTTGTTTTTTTTCTTTTATCCAGGAGAGAAATAGATGGGGAAACTGAGGCACAGGAAGGTGGATGCGTGAGAGGCCTGAGGACACCGAGCAGGACAGAACCAGGAATAGAAGCCAAGGCTTTTTTCATTCCCCGGAGCAATGTTCCCTCTAAGTTTTTCATCCATGACACAATTCCTTTTGTTTTGTGTACCAAGGCATGTGTGGATGTAGCAACACATGCTGCTGACTGTGGTCACTATGCTGATCAGCTTGGCGGCATTTGAATCTCTCCTGAGGGGCCACCTAAGCGCCCAGTTTACAGGGAACCCTGCTGCTGATCATTAGGGTTGCCAGAGATCCGGTTTTGAACCAGGCAGTCCGCTATTTGAGGGTTCTGTCCAGGAAACAAATTCAGAAAATACCGGACATATAAAATGTCCAGTATTTTCTAATTAGGTAAGTTTTATTATTATTAGGAGTATCAGTACCTAGTTGCGTATTGCGTGTCTGGTAGACACTTTCATGCAGTGTGAGCGTGTCTACCAGACAGGCAATACGCAACTTTTAGGAGTATCAGTGCATAGTTGCGAACTGCCTGGCTGGTAGACACACTCGTGCTGTGTCAATGGGTATGTCTAGACTACATGCCTCTGGCGACAAAGGCATGTAGATTAGGCTACCCGGCACAGGCAAAGATCATCGGCACAGCGCGGCAGCCGTGTTTATTTTAATGAAGTGAGGATTATTTAAATCCCCATTTCTTTGTCTATGCCAGGTAGCCTGATCTACATCCCTCTGTCGCTGGAGGCAACTAGTCTAGACGTACCCAGTGTGTCTACCAGGCAGGCAGTATGCAACTATGCTACAGTGGGTGCGGGGCCGGGTGGGATGGAATCCCTGGGGCCGGATTCATTCGTGCGACTCTGGAACTGTGTGTGAGATGGACAGCGCCCCAGGATCTGTACACGCCTGGGTCAGCCCTGCTTCCCACTGGCCAATTCTCTCTTCCTGTTCCCCCTGACCATGGAAACCCTGCTCCTTCTGACCCTCTCCAGGCCAGCCCTGCTTCCTGCCAACTGGTTCTCCCACCGCCCTCCTCCTGACCCCCCTCGTCCCCCCGTTGACTCCCTCCCAGCCAACCCCACTTCCCACTGGCTGGTTCTCCCCCTGATCTCCCCTGGCTAGCCCTGCTGACCCTACACCCCCGCCGATGTCCCCCAGCTAACCCCACTTCCCTGACCTTCCCTCGCCAGCCCTACTCCCCTCTCAGATGGTCCTCCCCCACATCTGAGATCAAGCATGTCCAATATTTTTTTGAAGCCACCTGGTAACCCTAATGATCGGGGAGTCTGGCCTGATTTGCATCCCTGATCGGGGACCTTTTGGGGCATCTTGGTCATTAACTTTTACTCTGGGGGTCAGGAAACACTGGGATCCCTGAAGGGACACAAGGGGGAAGCAGATAGACCCCCAATACCTGGGTTGTGGTGGGGCTCAGGGACACCTGGGAGGTAAAAATACAGAAAAACCAACATGGCTACTTTGAGGCCTTTGGGGCTTTTTTTGCTGGCAGCCATCTTGTTTTCTTCCTCCATGTCACAAGACAGCTTCCCTGTGGAACCAGGTAAGTGGAGAGAAGAGAGAAGAGGGGGGAGGGAAGGCCTGGGAGGGCTGTGAGCTGGGGCTGGCCCA